TCACTCTTAATTATAAACTTTGGGTAAAATTTCCCCTCGTCTTTCAACTTTTAATTATTCTTTTCATTTTCCTCTGGATTCTTGGCCTTTAGATTTTTCTTCTACAGACGTCTTATAATCTTCTGTGTTCAAATCTTCTTACCTTTCATTCAATTATCATTCCAAATATCTTGCCATTCCTTCCTTCCTTCCTTCCTTGTTTGACGGGTCACTAAACACATCCTCCTTCACCACCTGACCTCCCGCCTCACTCCTTTCCCTAAAGGTGACATGGACAGAAGATGAAGTTAATGTGGTCAAACCTTTTCCCTCTCCAGGCTGAGCAGCTGTCAGGAATCACTGGACGTAGAGTCAAATAAACCTGTTGTCTATAACGACTGACCGTTGAGTTTGTTTGTTCATTACATCCACAGACCACTGAAAATGGACCGACGGTAAAAGGACTTTTCCTCGTGTTGTCATCAAATCTATTGACCGACACATATCAACAATATTGACATCAGTGGAGGCTCACTTCCATCAGAGCTCATTCAACAGCAGCTGCCGTCAGAATGGAAACATGAAATCAGCCTAAAAAAAGGAAGAAGGCAGCAGAGAGAGGCTGCTGTTTCTAGGAATCCAATAATTATACTGGAGCTAATCACTGCCCATTATCCCGCCTGGGATTCTTTCTCCTATATGTACGTCACTCACTCATCTCCTCCTAAACACACACACACACACACATGCAGGCTGACAACTCTCTAATACACTGCAGGATAATTGCTTTAACAAATCAATAGCTCGTCATTAGAGGGAACCGTTTTGGCTAAAAGGTCAATCTCAGCACCATCACTGTCCTTCCACTGTATATATAAACAGGATGTCATCACTTTGACTGAATACTGTCTCCCACAGGGCAACGTTACATTTACATAAGAACAACACATCACAGAGAGGGGGCGTTACAGTAACGTCAGCTCCATAAAGCTGCTCTGATGGTCGCGTCACTGTTTGAATTGAATTTTCGTACAGTGATCAGACCGCGGCCCTCGTCTTCACTCTCACCACATTAACTTGTTGAGTGAACTCATTAAAACTGAACTGGAAGATCCTGGATCAACAACATCTCTCAACATGAGCCTGAAGCTGCAGGCTGTTAACTCACTGTAGGAGAGCCTTCACACAGGGATGTTTGTCAGCTCTTATGTAACTGCCCGTGTGGAGTCTGGTAGTCAGTGGGAACCTGCAGCTCAATCCAGATTTGAATCGGAAAGCAACGTTAACAGCACAGGGTGGAACATTTCCAGGTTACATTTTTTGCCAAGGAATTACATGATAACACAACTTTCATCACTAAATAAAGGTGAAATGTGATGAACATCAACATCTTTTTTAAAATTTGTATTAATCTACAGTTGCTGTGTCCTCCCTTCCACATGTCCCACTTTATAATACAATATGCTCTGTCAAGTGAATTATTAAATTGGCAAAAACATGAAAATAGGATAAAAAAATAATTAATATTGCATTTGCATAGCTGTGGACAGTAGTGTTGAGGAAAAAAGGTGTGAATGGTTGGCAGGAGGAGGAACTATGATAGATGTAAGCTTATTCAAATCTTGTTTTTCAGGACACACAACAGCCTTTGTTGAGTTAAAAAAGTGTCACATCCAGTCAATAAACAGATTGTTCACAAACAACTTTTTTTGATTCTAGAATTAGAATGCAAAGGAGAAAAAATTCTAACAGAAAAAATGTCTTACCTTTTCACTTCCTGTCCAGGTGTTTGAGACTGAGACCAAAGTCTTGGCCGAGTTTCCTCATAAACATCTCCCGAAGACGCAGCCAGTTCCAGCCTCCGTGCATCACTCGATGATTTTAACATCAATCATCCTGACACGCTCAGACACCAGTGAGACCTTTGCATCATGTTTTCATTTTTATTCCTAGTATAAGAGACATACAATGTTTTTTTCAGTGAGAGCAAAGTCATAGTAATTGAAGTCTGAAGAAAAAACAAAAACAAAATCAACAGGAACAGAAAAACAAAGAACATAATACTGAATCAATGAGACCCCGCCCCAGATACAATGTATTTACACCTAATCAAATACTGATTGGGTTTCAGAAGTGGCGTCACGCCGTCTCCAGAACAACCTGTCTCTGGTAAATAAAAAAAACAAAACAAAAAAAAATAACAACAACACATCTGTCAAATACAGAAGCTAACACATTTCCTTTGATTAAACTTTATGCTTGTGACATCATTCTCTATGTTTTATAATTGTTGTTGTTGCATTTTTATATCTTTGTCAATGTCTTTTTCTTCAATAAAACTCAACTCATGGTTTTTAAAACATAATACGCTTTATATGAGTTTTGTTGAAAAGTGTCAACAAGCAACACTTTCTGATAAAGTACAGTAAAGTACTACTATTCCAGGCCAATGTAGTTTCCCAGATTCTAGTTGTATTTTTATTATTTTTCAAACATACACTATTCTACCTTGTGGAATTATTTCCTCGTCATGTATTTGTAGTCAACACCAGGTGATGCTGTAACCATTGTAGAAGTCCACCTTTATGTTTAGTTCATTTGTTCTTACAAAAATAAAGAATAATTCAGGTTATCAATTGTTCAGATGGGGGCGTCTTAACCCAAATGCTGCGTAGTTACTATTAACTCTTTTAAATACAGCTCATTTCAGTGGGGCATGGGTAACAAAGGACGTAAATCGAGGGAAAGACTCAGCCAACCACGTCCTCAAATATGGCTTTTTATGTCCTATTTTTTTAAAAATGTGATTTTTTTTTCTTTCTGGCAAACGATCAGAATTTGGATGAGATGAAATGAATCCGTAAAATGGCACTGAACTGACTCCTGACCTTTCTTATCTAATGTATTTTTTTGGAGCCAGCCCAAAATGGTCAGTAGTGGTACTGCACCCACAACTGTGTTAAAAGTTCAAAGACACTCAGAGGAATGTCCAATTCTATACTGTCTATAACTTGTGGATTATTTTTAAACTGAAGGAGTGAAATAAAGAAGGTAAAGTTTAAATATAAAAACTATTAGGAAAAGACCCCAGAGATCATAATGCAACATATTATAGGTTTGTTAATACGTAAACAGTGACTTCTACAATGGTGACAATCAATGAGAAACTGTGAATTACTCCTTTAAGCCCAGAAGATTTCTACCCTCTAACTCTTGTGCGGAAAAGAAAAGTCTCAGAATGGCACCAATAGGGAAAAAGTGACACACAGTGGAAAGAGAGAGAAAATACGGAGGCAGTTGAACCTGAACGTCAGCAGTTGTAGGCTGCGAAAAAAAAAAGAAAGAAAAGAGAGATTATATATATATATATATATATATATATATATATATATCTTATATCTGCAGGCTCACACTTCAGGGATGCTAAAAAAAAAACAAAAAAAACCCAACAACGTAAAAACCACAAAAAGCAAAACAACAGGAAGGGTTTCATTCCAAAACACTGTCCGAAATTAAAAGAAAAAAAATCAAATAAAGAATAAATTGAAAAATATTTCTCTGGAAAGAGAAAGAATAAGAACGAAGGGCTCATTGTAGTCAAGATATAACATAACATATGGTACAATAGTTAGTGATACAATCATATTCACAGTTAGCAGGTGATCAGGATGGCTGAGATTCTGGAATGAAACTCTTCAGATATACATTAGATATTGGATGACACATACTGACGACCATAGAAAATGAAACACCTACCATATACTGTAGCATAGTAGCCTCTCAGCCCCCTTGCATTAGCCCCTACCCCCGGGTCACACACTATTATTAAATAAGGCACACATTTACACATACAGATAAAATTTGGCTAGTAATTATTCCTTTATTTACAACCAAAGAGCAACGAAGTTCATAGCTATAATACTCGCAGTCCTTTTCTGTGTTTAATGTTTGCTCTTGTGGTGCCAGATGGCACAGTTGGTCTGTTTTCTGGTTTGGATCCAAAAATATTTCAGACTATACAGTATTTATGTTGTGTGTGTTTTTTAAGTTCACGGGATGTTAAATCCTCTGGGATGTTTTTCTTTGTTTTTTCTTTTTTTTTGTTTTCTTCGAGCACCAATCTTAGAGAACTAAAACAAACCCGGTGATATCATTTATGGTCTGACATCTGCTGGGAGAGGGATGAACGAAAAACAAGGAAATTATCACTGCATGGAGAACGGATTGGACTCGGGAGCTCCTGCAGCGTTGGGAGGTTTGATGCAGTCGTGACTCTGAGTGTTGTACAGTTCAGGACGTGCACTGACCAATGTGTCAAAGAACTCAGTGCATGTTAAAACATGCTTAGTGTTTATTCTGGAGAGTTGCTGTCAGTGGCACCTCTCTACGATTACAGCAAATATAAACAGAATTAAAAAAATGTTAAATAATGCTTTTAACAGGGGCTATTTTAGTGCGGGCTAATTAATATGTTTTGTCCATATTCAAGCTCTGGAATGCAATTGTTTTGGAAAGAATGGGGAAAAATTATTTCTAAATTCCTAAACATATTAGTCCTTTAAATGTATTTGTTTGGTGCATCTGTGTAGAGAATATTTTCAAAATACAGGACCAAAAAAATGTAAAAAAAAAAAAACCCTCAAATAAAAAAATCCCGACTTCTTGTTGAGCTTATTAAAAAACACAACTAATTATAAAGAACTATACTTTTAGAGTTGTATCTAAAAAAAAAGTTCCACATCTGTCACTAAATCATCATCATACCTGAACCTGGGTCAAATTTACTTAATTTAAAAGTTTTTTTATGAAGTCCTTGAAAATGCTGTTGTTTTACAGGGAGAAAAAAAAGAAAAAAAAGAAAATTGTACGTTGTCTCCTCAGATGTTTCCTCATCGTTATTTCAGGCCCAGGAAAACCAAAATAGCTGTTTTGTTGAAGTTGTATCTCTCAGTGGGAAACACTTGCAGATTTTGTTTACTTATTTTTTTTTTTAAGCAAACTTAGTGTGTTGTTTTAATTAGGTGCAATATTTGTCTTTGTCATACTGAGCGTGTGTGTGTGTGTGTGTGTGTGTGGGGATGGATTGGTTAGTTTGATATGCAAAATATGAATATGTGTGCAATAAGGCAAAGACAGAACTACCTTGGGGGGAGGGGAGGGGCTCGCTGACTTTTTCACCACGGGTTACATATACTGCAAATGTATATGTATACATATACGGTGTGGATATTAACACACATATATATACACACACATGCATATTATAAACACATTCGAGGGCGGGGTGTGTGGGAACTGGTTACCAACACTACATCAGAAAAAAGGTTAAGCAAAAAAGCCTGAATCTAAGCATCGCTGGAGCCTCTGGCTTTTTAAAGTCTTCAAGATGACTGATGATGTTGGCATTTTTTTTTCCTCCCCTCCCCCCCAAACAATGATGTGTCCAAAAACTAAGTTTGCATTGTAAATCCACACTGAGGACATTGGCAGCCTAATATTAGGAGGTGGCGTCACGTCACCCGAGTCAGCGGTTCTATTATAAGCAAGTAGCTGAGCAATACCAATATGGTACAAAGATATTCGCTGGACAAAAAGAACAGGGGAGGGAGCAAAATACAAGTTTGGTTGAGGCTTTTGTCCACGGTGATTCCGTGGCTGTCGGATTATCAGCTGTGTTTTCTCACAAAGGTCTGCGAACCTCAAACCCTGTGCATTTGTTCAAAGAGAAGTGTCCTTTAAGACAACACAGTGAGGGGGACTCACTTCCTCCCTCTGTAGTCCTGGAGTAGATGCTCCTCAGTAGTTGAACTTCCCCTGCTGGTTGACTGGGGATGTGGCAGGTATGAACAAAGGTTTTGGAGGGACATCAGGTTTGAGAGAGGAGGCCCTACGGACAATGGCGCCCCGATGAGGGACCTCCTGCTCACCGTTGTAGCTGTGCTGACGTGCCATGTATCCGTTAGGGATAAGGGGGTAGTGAACCTCACAGGCGCTGCCTGTTGAGTTCATCCGGGCGAGTAGAGGGGGAGGTTGGTGGGGACCACCGTTCCGTTGGCTGAAGCTGTGCTGGCGGGGCATCATTCCTCCTCCTCCCCCTCCTCCTCCTCCACCTGTCGCTCCTGCTCCACCTCCACTAGGCATTTTGTTGGCTGCAGCTACTAAAGAATGCCTCTGGGATGAGTGCCTCCTCTCCAGAGTGGACTGGTGATGCGGGGGGATGTCAGGAGGAACATCCATGCGTCGGGTGAGGCTGTCTCGGGGTAAAGTTGAGGAGCTGTAGTAAGGGGCCGATTCAGTCTCAGGGATCTGAGGCTGGATGCGATTTGCGAATGCTAACTGGGGGGGGACCACCGTTCCGTGGGCTGAAGCTGTGCTGGCGGGGCATCATTCCTCCTCCTCCCCCTCCTCCTCCTCCACCTGTCGCTCCTGCTCCACCTCCACTAGGCATTTTGTTGGCTGCAGCTACTAAAGAATGCCTCTGGGATGAGTGCCTCCTCTCCAGAGTGGACTGGTGATGCGGGGGGATGTCAGGAGGAACATCCATGCGTCGGGTGAGGCTGTCTCGGGGTAAAGTTGAGGAGCTGTAGTAAGGGGCCGATTCAGTCTCAGGGATCTGAGGCTGGATGCGATTTGCGAATGCTAACTGAGCTCCTGCACTTCCACCGCTGGCCATCAGGCCTGATGGACTCATCAGCTGTGAGTTCTTACTGCTGCTGGCCTCATGGATGTGTTTCAGGATCTCATCCAGTGAGGTTACTTCCATCACCTTCTGAGGGTATCCAGAATAGGGCTGCTGGGACATCACGCGTTCAACGTTGTGGATTTTGCGTTCCTCTGGATGGAGGTGACTTCCAACCAGTGCCTGCCCATTAGCCAGGCTGTGGGAATATGGAAAGACCTGCTGGTGAAGCAAGGCTGAGCTGGGCCTGGAGCTCATGTTGTGGGACTTTGGTTCTTTGGCATTGTTGCAATTCTGGTTCTTTTCCCACTGGTTCCTAAAGGCCTTCATGCTCTTGATTGGCAGCTCTGGGGTGGAGTCTGGCGTTGGCAGACCAGAGAGCTCTGATGAGTGATGAAGGTGGCGATGGTGTGGGTGAACCAGGTCTCCCATGGACATCCCATGACTTCTCCTTGGTGCATGATGCTCTTTGCTGTTCGTGAAGAAAGAATTATAGATCTTTGGAGATGACACCTCCAGCTTGTCATCCTTACTTTGGCCATCAAGGAGGCCGTTGAGCTTGGCCAGGCTGCGCAGGGACAGGGCGTGAGGTATGGGAGCCTCCGGATCTTTGGCCAACTTCTTAGTCTTGTGGCCTGAATGGTTGCAGTAGCAGGAGACCAGGAAACCAGAGAGGAAGGCACCGAGGACAAAGGCAACCACGACACAAGCGATGAGGAGTGTGTAGTGGACGCTGTGGTTGGTCTTGTCGAGTTCAGGTGGCCGCCTTACTCCTTTAGAAGACAAAAGATAAAGAAATTTGTGCTACAGTTAAACCCTTTCTGAATCCATCAGAGAAACAACACACACACACATTTTCAAAGGCTAATATAGGTCAAGTAGCAGCTGGGAGAGACAGGTTGTGTTTACTGGGGCTTCACTATGTGGGAAACAGCATGGGAGAGGTGTTTGAACTAAATGCTCGGCTTCCTCTACTCTCCACTGTTAAAAAGATCAATAAAGCCTTTCTTTTTTGGACTTGCTCTCCCTCTGAACAGAGGAGTTGAAAGAGAGAGTTTTCCAGCCAGTGAGAAATCAACTCTGAGAAGATTAAGAGCTTTAAATATTGATAGAAGCGCAGCAGCAGGAACCAGATATCATTTTCTCAGACTTTGCTTTCCAATAAAGGGATGAAGAGTGTAAGACACTGCGTGTGATGAACAAGGCAATAAAAGGGTTTAGCAGTTAGCTCACCAAATGTGACGCAGTTGCCAAAATCGGACCCAAATGAGGATGTCAAATTTCAGCAAAGTGAAAGTGAGAGGGAAAATATGTGCAACAGTGCACCAACATATGAAGTTACTGGGCTGGTTTGAGGTAAATCTACCATGTAAACGCCCTTGGATGATGTGACCCCAGCAGCGTGTTTGCCTAATGGCGTGAAAGGAAGCCACGATAAGAGGAGTGAAACCTGCCACCTCCTATAATCAGAGCTCATTTGCAAAAACGCTGCCGCCATCTGTGGTGTCAGGCCCTTCTCTTCGCCCTTAATGACAATTTCTGTGAAAACTGATTAGTGTGTTGAAGGGGAGGACTGAGGAGCCAAGAGGAGGAGGAGAAAAAAATGCAGGTGTTTAGAACAACTTAAAATTCAACAGGACGCCTCGCAGAAGAATGGGGAATGGAAAATTGATGATGTCAAAATCAGGCTTAATGGTGAGTTTATAGGATGTTAAGGAGATATGATAATGATGATGATCATAATGACTGGTGGGGGAGGAGGGTCAGTTTAATTATTCACCAGAGCAGGTTTTCAATCTTTTCTACAGATAATGTGACCTAGACTTGACAGAAGAATGTTTTTTATTTCAGAATATTTGCTCAGGGAAATGTGTCTAAAACAGATAGATGAATATAAAGAAAGATCTCTTATGGTACATCCATCTATCCATCCATCCATTTTTGTCCACTTATCTGTTACTGGGTCGCGGGGGCAGCAGTCTCCACGACCGCCACCAAAATCACACTGCACCGCCCCTGAACCTTCCTGCAGGTGGTGAGTCCACTGGAAGGTACCAACCGCCCTAACTGGGATTCGATCTTGCCCAGGATTTTTAGATCTCGTAACATAATAGGAACTACTGTTAAATCCTTTCTTCAGTTGCTCTTGAATTTTCATTTATGCCTGATTCCCAAAGTTGAGATCTGGCCCATATGAACCATTTCTACAGCAAATGTCCAATTAGAAACTGCTGCTCTGATGGAAATAACAACATCAACATTTTCACTGGCTGTACTCGGACTTATATTAGGTAATAAACGTTCATTAAATCACTCAGTAGATGGCTGAGCAGCAGCACATTTCCAGACTTCTTTAGATAACCACTTCTGCAAAGTGATGAGTACGATCCAAGAATGTTTGTTCAGTTTTAATTCACTCCTTCAGGGTTCTTTTTTTTTTTTTCAAATTATGCTAACGTGTTACCTGCTGCAGTCCACTAAAATAACTCATTCCCATCTGTAGCTATGAAATTCTTCTAACTTTTTGCATGAATTTAATTTCAGCAACCTCCCCATGAGCTGCGTGTGGCCTCAGAGAACTTCATTAGAGAGAATGAATATCTGCGTGTCATGAGGGAGGGGGAGAGGGGTTGATTAGAGTCAAGGTATTAGGGAATATTGCGGGGGCGTATAATCTGATCAGACCTGTTAGATTTTGAGTGGGAATCTAATTAGGAAGCCACCAGAGACAAATGGCTGTAATCTAAAGTTATTCTCTTGGTCCTAAGAAGGTGCTTGACACCATGATAACTACACAGAGCATGAAATGAGGAGAGGCCGGGCCATTTGCCTCTTGTCGTCTCTGCAGCACTAATTTGACTCAATCTCATTTCAGACGGATCGGGAGTGGGGACAGAATGAGACTCAAACGATGACTGACGACATGTGTGCATGTATGCACTGTTCCTGACCCAAGAGTTTGTGATGACAATCAGGAAGTTACAGCGGAACTACTTCAGTTATTTCTCCTGCTTTATTATCCGCAGGCAGGATTTGTGCAGGTGTTCTCGTGGAGAATTACCATGTAATGGTGTCTCTGCAGAGAAAGGAAGCTGGAGAGAGGGAGCGAGCCAGAGAGAGAGTGAGGGAGGGAGAGGGAGATAGAAATGAAGCCCAATGCAACCCAGATAAAAATATCCTCTAACTGAAGCTTTCAATCAAAAAAAAAAAAAAAAAAACTCTAAAATTTTAGCCATTTATTCCAATGATTGCCTGGACTTGTGACGCCATTAAAACATCATAAATCAGAATCACATACCCACTGGGAGAGAAAATCAGAAGAGGAACTGCAGTTGGCTTTTTAATGCCCGCTTTAAATCTTGGCTTTTTTTCCTTCTGTCATTAGCAAGTTTGCAGTAATGACATGTGCCAATGAAAATGTGTTTTGCTCATTATTCTAACTGATGGGGGATTACATCACAGATTCACTGTCGATGCATGTTTAGACCATTTATATAGAACGGGCACAGCCGTCAACTGATGTTTGTAAAGCACAGAAAAAAGAAAAACTAGGAGCATTTTAATCTTTTATGTATTAATTTTCTAAGAATCAATCAGGTTTTTAGGGAGAAGATGTAAAATTATTAGACTCATCTGTGGTAGGATATTTACTGAGTAAAAATGGACTCAGTGTTTGATTTTCATACAACTTTAAATGAACTTGTCACAACTTTTTTCACCTATCATACTGCTTCCATTTACACATCATGCCTCACTGCTGTTTGCTAACTACAGCTACTGGCCACTTCATCAGACACACAAGGCACACGGCCATATCAATGTGACATAGATACAAATCTTGTCTTTAGACATTCTATCTTTGTCAACAACTCTCACTTAAGCTCGGAACAACGATAAAAATGATGAAGAAAGATCGAACAAAATAAAAACAACAAAAATACCAAACACAGCATGATTTTATGAGGACCAAATGATCAGCAAAGTTGTTATGCCTCAGCATTAAAGCAAAAAAGATCACAGACTGTCTGTCTGGGAAAAACGTTCTGGGAGTTATACATGTTCTCACAGTGTGTGTGTGTGTCTGTGATGTAATTTAGTTTTCCTCCCACAGTCCAAAATACACAGATTAGGGCTTAGGTTCATCAGACACTGTAAACTGAAGTGTGAGAATAATACTAGTTTTTTTTTAATATGTGACACTGTGATGTTGAGCTCATTTTATACGGCGGACAAGATGATTTTGGCTTTTCGAAATTCGCTGATCTTGTGAAACTGCCTATGCCAAACCGTATATGTATATTTATTATATTAAAATGCTGTTTTTGGTGTTTCGTTCTTCATAGTGACTGTGACTCAACTGCTCCCTCTGGGTCATGTAATACTCCCCAACCACCCTAGCTGTGACGATGGGTCTGTTGAGGCCGTCGACCATGCTGAGGGGAATGAGTCAAGTGTAACGACGGGGGGTGAAATGTCCAGCTGAGGTAAACAAATCCTGAGACTACAAATGACCTGTCACAACATGTCTCAAGCACAGGCTAGATGACTCAATTGGAGGGTCTCTGGGACATATGGTGCCTTAGTGAAAAGAGTGTCCAGTGAGTCACTGACACAGCCCCTCCAGCAGCTAGGTGGCGCACAAGAGGGCTTCTAAGCCAACTGGACACATTTCTGGTTTTCTTTCCTTTTAATGAGTGTGGAAACTGAAAACTTGGTTCCAAAACTGCACAAATATTTTTATTTTAAAGCCCGTCTAAAGGAGAAAACTCTTTCACCCTGAACAGTTCATTTCGCAAATTCTCCTCAATGTTTACACAGATTAAAAGTCCGCACTCCACTCTCGAAAAAATGTTTTATTCCTGTGTCAACTCAAAGAAGGCTTAATATAGAGACACACCAGTCTGCCAAAAGGTAAAAAGACAGATGGGCTGCGTGAGTGGAGTCAAGGGAGGGAGAGGAGAAAGGGAGTGTGACAGCCAGGGGTAAAGAAGAGGAAAAGAAGGGAGATGAAGGATGAAATTCAACCTTGGCAACTAACTGGTGTGAATTTGTGAGGACACGGTGGAGGAGCAGTGAGGGGGTGACAGGGAGGGAAGGGGTAAAAGAGAGGAATATGGGTAAAAGCTAATGAGAGCAGGGTTAGCTGATAGGAGCTTATTGGAACGAGGAGGAGGTAGATGGAACCAGACGGACATGACGGACTGAGTGACAGACCATTACTCTGCTGCTGTTTCAAGACCTGGAGCTGTGCTGCAGCTGTGATGTGGTTGGAGAAAAAGCCCAGCGCTCCTCCACTGCACCGTGGGAAGAGATGCACTTTGCAACTGCATCCGTGATGTTAAAAATAGATGTGCGGTGGATTATGTAAACATGCAGGTCCCCCACAAAGTTGCTTGCAATGTCGCTGTACTAACTGGCTTTTCTTTTTTTTTTCATGCATAGCAGGAATAAAAGTACAACATCGCGGTTCTTGTCAGGTTGTACAAAGTGTTTCTGTTTTTGCTGAAGTTTAATCTAAAAACTAATTACAAAAAGAGAGATACTGAAGTGATTAAGTTAATGACAACCGTCTTTGTTAGCTTTATCTGCCAAACATTACAGCACCCATAGACCTTATAATGACACCAATTACCACTAATCAGAGCACTTTAAAGTTTCATACTTGCTAAATTGTGAAATTTTTTTTTCAACTCTCCCATATGACATAAAGCATCACATACTTGTTAGATGAGTTTTCAAATTAAGTGTACACTGGTTATATAATACAAACTTG